GGGCGAGCGCGCTGCTCCGTGGTGTCGCCTGCATCTTGCCAGCGGCCGGGAGCTTGAGCTTCCTGTCGGTGCTCACCGGGTACGCACCGCTCACGCGCAAGTGCCTTTCGCGTCCTGGGTCCAGCTTGCCCTTGCTGTACTTGTTGATCCCGCTCGAGTCGCGGCTGTTCCTGGGGACGGGGCTCTCTTAGAGGCCCCGTAGTAGATGTTTCTGGCTGTGGCGGCCCCCACACAGCAGACGCCCCTTCTTCCAGTCCTTTCGTGTCTCGTCCTGTGTCCCTGCCTCCCCGGCGTCTTGGGATTTCCTCCGTGTGGTGCAGGCGCTGCCTGTACGCCTGTGGCTGTCTGAGTCCTCGTTCCGTGTGACGGGAAACAAAAGTCAGAACTTCTGGCTTCATCTTTTCAAGCTAACGGGCCTGAGCTTTTTCCCGAACCGTGTTGTAGACGCCAGAGGCAGACGCAGCAGACGGCCGGGGTGTGCGTGGGGGGCTCGTCCCCGCGTGTCCCTCCTGCCCCGTGTCGGCAGAGCAGTGCGACACGCATGTCGCAGACACTTCACTGTGTTTCCTGCCAGGTGGTGACAGACGGGGGGAGGCGGTGGTGGGGCGGGCGCTGCGCGAAATGACCCTCCGCGCGGCCGTGCTGGTCGGGAGAGGCTTGCCACGCCGTCAGCTCTGCTGCCATCGGCCCCTTGGACTCGACATCTGGGAAAGGCTGGACTGGGCCTCGGGGGCACTTACTTGCGCCCACGGTTTGTCTGCTGCTGAGATCTGGGGTCTTTCTGGGCACTAAACTGCTCCTCACACCCTAGCTGGAGTCTTCCCTGCGGCAGGGACAGCGTCTGTTGTCCGGGGGCTGCTGTGAGCAGTGTCTGGGATGTTCGGAAACCCGCGAAGCGACCGGGGCTGTTGCGATAGAGGCGTGGGCCCGTCAGCTTGAACTCCCGCTTGACATTTGTGCCCAGTATTTCGTGGTTGTCATTGTCGTCGCCAGCATGCCAGTGACTGCGCGTCCTCATCCTGCCAAATGCCTGAAGCGGTGTCTCTAGAGTGACCACCCAAGTTGGGGGAGCGGCTTTGAGGGCGAGGTGGATGCTTCCCGGACAGGATGCTGGTGATGGTTTCAGCAGGGTGTGTGGTGGCTCCATGCTCTCCCTTACTCCTTTTTTTTAAAGGCGTATTGATTTAAGCACATGAACTGGGGTACAGGCCAGGGGTGCAGGTGCTCTGTCCCCCAGAGACAGAGCGGGGAGCAGGGCAGGCCGGCTGACGAAGCCCACGGCTGAGGGGAGCAGCGGGAGTCAGGAGGGGTCTGCGCGCCCCGTGGGCTGGGGACCGAACTCACGCTCAATGGCCTTTAGCTTCAGCCTGCTGCGCCCAGGGCGAACTCACGCTCAAGGGCCTTTAGCTTCAGCCTGCTGCGCCCAGGGAGGCCCATCTCTCCCTACTCTTTCTGGCAGCCCTAGACCATCGCTGTCGCCCAGAGAAGCCCGAAGGGTTAAGCAGCTTCCTCAGTGTTACGCAAGCAGCGAGTGGGTCTAACCGGCCTGGAGATGCCCTCCTGGTGTCAGTGCAAGGGGATCCGCGCCAGCAGGCCCCTCCCTGGCGACGCCCGTTTGTTGGGTTGGGAGGCGCCTGTCTTGGCACATCCCCCTGCTTGCGACCCACACGACTCCCTCATACTCGGCTCCGGCCGCCTAACACCGCCCCCCTGACTCCCACAGGGCGCCATGACTCCTGGGATCCCTATCTTCAGTCCAATGATGCCTTATGGCACGGGACTGACTCCTCAGCCTATTCAGAACACCAACAGCCTGTCACTTCTGGAGGAGCAGCAAAGGCAGCAGCAGCAGCAGCAGCAACAGCAGCAGCAGCAGCAGCAGCAACAGCAGCAGCAGCAGCAGCAGCAGCCGCCAGCAGCGGTGACGGGGGTTCAGCAGGCGACCGCCCAGCAGGCGACACAGGGGCCGTCAGGCCAGACGCCACAGCTCTTCCACTCTCAGACTCTGACCACTGCCCCCTTGCCAGGCACTACGCCCCTGTACCCCTCCCCCATGACCCCCATGACCCCCATCACGCCTGCCACGCCGGCCTCGGAGAGCTCCGGGATCGTGCCGCAGCTGCAGTGAGTACCTGTGTCCTCGCGCCCCGCCTGGCCCTGGCCCTGGCCGCGGCCGCTGTCCTTTGGGTTTGGAGATTGTTCGCGGCCGGCTCCGGCGCGCGGCGCTGGCCTGCTGACGCCTGCCTCTCGCTAGCCTGTGGCACCTTCAGGCCCCGGGAGCTGGCGCGGCTGCACCTCAGGGCGCTTTGGGGTTCGAGCTGATACAGATTTAGAAACAAAACAGTTTCGCGTGGCCGTCTGCCCCGGGGAGCCCTGCCAGCCCGCCGCTGTCTCACACCCGGTCTGGCTTCTCGGGGCATGAGGCGCGCCTCCGTGTGAGCCCTCGCAAGCGGCTCGGGGGCCGGGTCCCTCGCGGCACCCGTCCTGCGTCCCTGAAGACCCGGCCGGCGGCGGCGGCGCGCTTGCTGATCTCGCCCTGCTGGGTGAGTCAAGTGGCCCCAGGTCCTACAGGCTGATGAAGACTTGAGGTAAATAGTGCAAGCGCCCGCGGCAGGCTCGGCGCGGATTCTGGGAAGCCGGCGCCCGGCGGCAGGTGCTCTGCGGAGTCGGGGCGGCTGTTCTGGAGCCCGAGGCCGAGCAAGCCGGCACGCGGCCCCCACCGCCCACTGCGGTCGGCCCGGCGCGTCCCCTGGGCCTCGTAGGCCCTGGCCTCCCGGCTGCAGCACCTCGGCTCTGTCGCTGGTCGCCCCTTCCTGCCGCGGGAGCAGCGGGATGCAGCCGGCACGCTCGCTCCCTGGGGTGCACAGCGCCCCGCTTCGGCTGTCACGGCTTTGCAAGGGTTGGGGCTGAGCGCCCCCCGCTGGCCCCACTTGTTTCTTTTTCCCCTCTGGGAGTCAGGCACTAAAGACATTCGGAAACCTCTATGGAGGAGGGAAAATGTCAGTGGAAAGTGACGTGCTTGCCGAGGAAAAGCTCAGAAGAAGGGAGGAGCTGCGCTTGCGCCCACCTGCCCATGTTCGCCCGGGGCGGGGAGCCCACAGCCGGCGAGGCAGACCCGCAGAGCAGCTGGGGGGCTGATTCTGGAGTCAGCACGATAGACTCAAGTGTTCAGTGTTGAAAGAAAAAACTGACAAGGTGTACAGGAAAACAATAAAGACTTGAGTTCGCTGTGTCTGAATTCTCATTACGGTTTTTACTGTGTCTTCGTTCTGGTGCAAGTTCATGGAGATGCCAGAGACCCAGAAACGCAAGCACCAGTTGAGCAGATTCTGGCCTCCAGTGTGTCCTCTTCATCCACCGGGGGATCAGAAGGAGACAGGCGGCCTCTGTCAGTGCCTGCGCTCTCGGCCTCTCGAGCAGGCCTGATTTGCCGCCCGCCGCGAGGGCCTGGGCCTGGCGCCCTCGGGGCCAAGCGGCTGAGGCTTCGGGGAGCAGCGAGCCGAGTGCCACAGGCCCCGAGCCGCCCCCTCCCCTGCCCCCAGCCGCAGCGCCGTCTGCAGACGGGGTGGTGGTGCCGCCCGGCAGGCGTGCGGCCTCCGGTCAGCTCGCGGGGCGTCCGCTGGGAGCGAGCTGCTTGCCAGTTCGTGTCAGCACCTTTCGCCACTTTAAGAATTAGCTGTTAAGCTTACTTCTTCAGGTAAAAGCTAAATAGATAATCGTCTTTTCTTTTTCCATTTCTTGCAGAAATATTGTGTCCACAGTGAATCTGGGCTGTAAGCTCGACCTAAAGACCATTGCACTTCGTGCCCGAAACGCTGAATATAACCCCAAGGTCAGAGCAGCTTTGATGTCTTTACCGCGCCACGCCAGTGCCGTGGTGTTTGCCCGTTTGTCGATACCAGCGAAGTGTGTGTCTCTCCCCTGGCATCTGCCCCTGCGGGGGGCGGGCAGGGCCGGTGTGTGATCCCGCGCGCGTCTCGGCGACCGGAAGAGAGGGAGCGAGTCGCCTGCGGTCTGCTGCGGAATCACCCAGGGGGAGAATTTGGGAAGTTACCCGGGAGTGTAGGACGTGCGGGGAAGTTTCTTTTATGACTTAAAACCTTTTTACGGATGGTGGGGAGAGTGGAAGTCCTTTGGCTTTGGGGAGCAGCCTGAGGACACGGGGTAGAAAAGACACTTTCAAAAAGTAGTAAAAAGTTACATTCAAAGAGGAACAGATATACTTAGAGGCCCGTGAAGAAAGCGGGCCCCTGAGTGCGGACGCCGGCAGCTTGGGGCGCCCCGGGTGGCCCCGGGAAGCGGGAGCGACTCCCAGTAATCCAGCACGGGCCGCTCCTTGTGGCCCACGACTGCCTGAGGTGGCTTCACCTCCCCAAAGGAGTCAGCGCAGGGCAGGGGCGGGGCCTTGGCCACGGCCGGCCCGTCGCCTGCCAGCAGCCTCGGAGGGGTGTCCCTGTGCCCCCCAGGGGCCAGGGCCATGCGCTTCCTGTCTGCCCTCGGCGCTGCCTGGCTCTGGCCCGGCCGTTGTCCGCGGAGGGCGTCGCTGGCCGGCGGTCCTGGCCGGTGGTCGGGGCTCGGGCAGAGCAGCACCTCAGCCCGGGGCTAGTGGGGTCTCGAGGGGGAAAAACAAGAGTCAGCTTAACCCCCGAAACACACACTCACTCGGTACCCGGCTCTGCGGTTCGCTGTAGCTCTCTCCTTAGGAGAGCTGGCGTCAGTCACCTCCGTCAGTTTTAGGAGCCAACTTCTTTTTTTCAGTTGATTTTTCTGCCCAAACTCCTGCCACGCAGGCGCGTGAGCAGTGGCCCGGTACTGGGGAGCGGCGCAACAGCTGGGAGAGTCAGCGTCTGGCCGTGGGATGTGACCAGTGAGCTGGAGGTTTCCGGGCGAGTGGTTTCGTTCGGTTTTTTGAGGCCCAGCCCAGGTCACGGGACTCAGTCCAGGATGAGCCGGGCCGAGACCACGTCGACCAGAGGTGGCCGCGGGCGTGCCCGTTTAACTGGTGTTGGCGTCGGATCCCAGTGAGCTGTGTCGCCGGGGTTTCTGGCCCAGCCCCAGAGGCCAGGCAGCCCACTGCGGGGAGCAAGCCGGGGCGCGGCCGGGGGTGGGGCGGGAGCCTCGAGCCCAGAGGCTCCTGCAGGCAGAATCTGCGCGGCCTGTGGGGGGCCAGGGCCGCCCCCTGCCCCGGGCACCACGGAGCTGTGTGCATGTGCTGCTTAGAATTTAGAGGGGGAATTTTTTTAAAGATTTTATTTGTGCACACAGAACTGGGGTACAGGCCAGAGGCTCAGGGGTGGCGAGAGGCTTCCCCAGAGACAGAGCGGGGAGCAGAGACAGGCAGATGGACCAAGTCCACTGCTGAGGGGAGCAGCGGGCGGGTCAGGAGAGGTCTGCCGCTCCCTGGGGTCACCTCCGGGGCCGGCGGGGATCGAACTCATGTGGAAGCGGCTTTAGATTCTCAGGGCTGCGCTGTAACCCGCTGCGCCCCCAGGGAGGGTCTAGAGGGGGAATTTAAGGAAGAAAAAGATTTGTCAGAGCAGTTGATGTTTCTTCTCAGTTAAAGCAGCTTGCTTGTGACTTTATACAGCCGCACTTTGAGTGTGGAAATGGGTACATGGTGGCACATTTATGTCTGGATGTTCTAGCAAACCTTCATGAGGAAATAACGAGTCTGACCACAGTACCGTGGCGCCTGCTGTGCGGCCCCGCTGGCCAGGCAGACGCAGGGGAATGCGGAGGGTGTTGGGGGTGTGGGCTGGTGTCCGCCAGGCGGTGCAGATGTGTGTGGAAGTCCTCCCCCTCCTGGGTTAAGTGGGCATTAGCTAGCCCATGAAAATGAGAACAGTGGGTAAATGAGAACTACTTAGCGACGGCCATTTTTATGCGGGGATTAAAAACAGCATGTGGTGTTGTCCGAGGTTGTAGGTAGGCGGTTGTGACTAGCCTGTGAGCGGTCATGAGTGAGTTGTGCCGCTTCACGGTCTCTAATGAAATGGTCAGTTGGCTGGTGGGACCCGCGGAGGGGACTTGGGAATAGGAAATAACTGGGCTTGTCCTGAGACAGAGCACACGGGACAGATTGTAAAGTGGTCAACAACCTGGTCGGTGAGTCACCTCAGAAATACTGTTTGGGTTTTTCGTGGGTAATTCACATCAGACGTTAAAACCGTTGTGTAATGTTTTGCTTTTTGCCTCGTTAATTCAACCTACAGTCGAAATTCTTCCCCCTTGATACAGCCTCACAAGAAAAGCACGTTAAAAACACCGGCAGCAGTTCTCAACTGTGCTGGCGCTTCTGTGCCGCGCAGGTGCGGCTCCCCGGGGGCTGGCCGGGAGCAGGGGCCGCCGCTGTGCTGGTCCCACTCGGTGGTGGGGACACCTACAGCTGTGGCCCGCTCGGCCGAAGCCAGCGTTT